GGCGGGGGGGGGGAGCAAACCCACAAGAGGTGATATGATCTGAGTGGGGAGCTAACTTACATCTACAGCATCAGCTGAGTGCAACTAGTGGGCTATGTCTATTTTAAGTCAATTTGATGCAGAAATAATAGCCCATTCATGAGGAAGCCAGTGTCAAGAAGGGTGGGCGGTTGCAAAGAGGAAGGTATTTTATTGTTTTGTTTGCCTTTACAACTTTCAATTTGCCAGCCCTGACTCACATCAGCAGAGTGAGCAGAAGCCCTCCGAACCAAGCTCTGCAAGGAATGTGCCTGTCACAGAGCACCTGGCCGTCCAGGCAAAAATAAAAGCCACTCACCCAAACAAACGAGAACAGTCCCCCACCCCTGCACCTGGAGGTGCAGTAACACTAGCAATGCCAAAAAAGATGCAGATCATAGCTCCTATCCCCTGCTCCTGCCTGCAAAGTTCCCAGAGAGGGCGAACTCTTCTGGCTGCTCTCCTTTACACCTTTATCACCCTGTGTTGCACAAAATCTGTTTCTGTGGATGCCCACTACCCAGCACTCTGCCTATGGGCAGAATAGCCCTGCAGCCCAGGGTGCCCCCACACCTCTCCAGGATCCTCCGTCCTGAGGGGCTGCAGGATCCTGGTGCCACCCTGCCTTACCTGTGGGGCTGTCTGGATATCCTGGAGAAGCAGCAGGAGCCACAGTCCTAGTGCCAGGCTGCAGGCAGCCATCTGCAGTGGTGCTAGATCTCCCTAGCTCCCAGCATCGCAGGTTAGACAGCCAGGTTGCTCCTCCCGGAGGCTGAGATCCTCCAGTCCAGTCTAGCTCCGTGTCTGTTCATTCAGTCCAGAGCCATTCCAGCTGTTCAAGACAAGCAGGAGAGAGGCTTTGAGACTCAAGCAAGCTGAGAAAACAATTTAGAAGGAAGGGGGAGGGGGGCTGCCCAAAAAAGAAAAGTAAAAAAAAAGAACAAAACAAAACCGCGTCAATCACTAGTCCCAGAGCTGGCGGGTTTCTGTGAGTCGGTTGCATGCACCAAGGTTGTCACTCGCGGTACACGGCTGGCTGTGCAGAAACACAGGCTCCTGAGTCATCTAGGCTGCCCTCAGAGCACTTCACCACCCCAAAGCCTTGGCCAGGCATGAGTCCAAGCCCTGCCCCGTCCATCCGCCACACTCTCAAGAGCTGCAACCAAACCTCAAGAGAATTCCCAGTAAGAAACACTCATTTTTTTCAGTACAGTCATTTTACTCCTGTTTGGATGAGAGTGTGAAAACTCACAACCAGCCAGGGTGACTCCGCAAAGGTTTAAAAGCTTTACACATTGTCCTTTAAACACCAACATACCACAAAGCATCCTCTTGAGAATCCTTCTCTTTCCTCCAATCCCATTTGAAATCAATTCCTGTTGCTGCCAATCATCCCTTGGACTGCTACTCATCATTTCACTCACTTTCATTTGTTACTCCAGATAATGTTTTTTGGCTCTGGTGCCTGAAAAGATTTCAGTTGGTTTAAGGTATCACAAAGCTTTCTTATCTGCCCTAAAAGTTTTGTCAAAAGTAAAAGTTAGCCACTTCAAAAAAGGGCAGATTGCCTCGAAAACCTCTCTGAGGTGCTCAGGAAAAGAATGAGAATTTGAATTCTCACACCCATGGTTTTTTGCTTCTCACCCTTATCAGCAAAAAAGAAAAACTAAAGAAATGAGAAAAGATTGAAAGTCAGATAATAGATTATTTTATTAAAGACCCACAGCTACCTCACTGCCATCACAACAGAGTGCCAAAGATGAGAGCATTCCACAGGGGCCCTGGGGTGATGTAAATATCTTCATTAATTCACAGCTGTAACTCTTTTCTTTTTAACTAACTGCCTCTTTCTCCAGAATACCATCTTATAAAACCCAGGCATTTTCAGAACTTCGCACACTGTGTATTTGACATATAAATCTAACCTCCTTTCTTCACTCTGTCAGGTTACTTCTCAGTTTCTAAGCTCTCTAAGCTATAAAAGCTGATTGTGGTAGGTATGCCTTTAAGGTCTAGAGACAACTAAGTATTTGAGCGTCCAAATATTACATTCTTGGTTTTCCTAATTAAATAATAATAAAGGAAGTATCTTAATCTTGTGTAATAATATGCCATTAGGCAATTCTCCCAATTCATGAGTGCAGTTTCAAATGACATAGTAGTGAGGACAATTGGTGAGCTCTGTCTTTTTTTTTTTTCTCCTCCCCCCCCTGTTTTTTTTTCCCTTCCTTTTTGTTTGTCTGATCAGCTCCTGTCTAAGCTTTTCTAGTAAAAGGACAGGAATTAATGTAAGACACAGTCTGGAAAGTTTAAGCCTCTGTAAGTTATACTGCTGAGGTCAATGCATCTGATACAAAATCTAAGTATCTGAGTACAAAAAATCGTGTGAAAGACTTTCCCAGGACTGGCAACAGTGAGAGTTTTCTGCCCTGTTTTCCAGAAAAAATAAGACTGAAATGAGCATACTGAGCATTTTGTATATATATGTATGTTGGTTCCTTTTTAATCAATGGTGTCAATTTTTTAACCCATTGGATAACTTCAATCTAATTTGTCTGAGGATGCAAAGTCATTAAGTTTTACAAAGTTTCATGGAAGAAGATGACTCGGATAAAGAGGGAAAATTCTAGGAACACTCTCACTGGGGGAAAAGCTGCGGTGAGAGACTAGTGTTAAGATTCCATCCCACACATCCAAAGTGAAACCAGGCTTCCCAGCTGCCATCCTTCTTAGAACTTCCTAAATTCATTCTTGATTGAACTAGATATTTAAAAGGATGGGAAGTGGAAAGTGCTTATTGTTGCTGCTGGCTTTTCAAAAAGGCTATTACATCACACAATGCTATTACAAGTCTGTAATAAAAGCAACAGCAATGAAAAGGGTGAAGAGGTGGTGTGTGATAGGAATGTTCCAACCTGCATGCATTTTTAACTGAATGCATTAATTTCAGACTTTGTGTGCTTTGAGTCCAAATACAATGAAAGGGGCTTTCCAAAAGAAGTCCTGTCAGTAACTGGAATAAGCACCTCCGTTTTATAACAAACCCACACTACTGTTCTCTAAATGTTGCCCATATTTCCTAGAAAATAATACTCTATGGTAATATACAAGAAAAAAAAAAGCAGAACAAACACAAGCAAACAAACAACCCCTATTTCTCTGCTCTTCTATCAGAGAACAATGCCTATCAGAAAAAAAAGGGGAAAGCCCCAATGAGCATGCTATTATTATTTATAATGCCGCATCTGTCTCTAACATCTGAATCTCCTTTTGATTTAGGTGTTAAAGGTAGCAATACCCAAAGACAAGGTTGCTTGGCATTTTCTATTTTAACTAATTTAGTTAATGCTGAGCTTAGCTAACGCTAAGTAGTTTTTACACTGACTACCTGATCTGTGCTGACCATCTGTGTGTGTGATGTGGAGTTGAGGTGGAGGGGATCAGAGAAAGTCCTGTAAGCCAGCGGTTATTCATATGTCGCTTGATACCTGGAGCAAAAGAATGCAGAAACCCAGCTAAGCCATGAGGGAAAGTCTCTTTAACACATGCCCAGGACATTCCTTCAGCACTGTCTATTCATTGTGCTGCTAGCAGTGACAGCCTGGTAAAAAAAGGAGTAATAGAATACTGCAGAAGTAACATTGTTACACATGTGCTCAAGTAAAAGTATTCATGACATTTTCTGATTTTGAAGTGGCTGATTTTAGTCTCATATTGTAGCTTTAGCATGGTTCCTTGTGGTTTTTAATATGTATGTTCAGTTAATATATATCTAGCTGTATCAGTGAAAAAAAAAACACGGCGAGTAGTGTCATCTCTAAATGTCTGTCAAACAGATAAATGAGACCACTGAATTTAAAAGGATATATATTAAAATAACCTTGTCTAAAATCTGTATTTCAGTGTCTGTCAGTGTTGCTATTTAGAGCATTGCAGTACACTGATGAAAATCACTAAACTCTTGCTACGTAATTAGATGAAACAACAGCAGACCCTAAAATTTCACTAGGAGTCTCAGTAGTACCAAAGGCAGTGCTTGTTGGGATACACGCTACATACTATAGGGGGTACAAATGAAAGGTGGAATTCTTAACAAATTAAAAAAGAAAAATGAAAGCATTTACTGTAATAAAACCCAAAGAATCTCATGGTTAAAGGAAGGAAAATAAGTAGTCACCAAGAATGACTTTCCTGACACCCCTCTTAATCCATTCATGCATTTTAGCCATTGAAGAGCTCTCTTCCTGGGGATCTTGGAAAGCGGCACTGTGGCAACAACACGCAGGGAGAGCATTCAGGATCCCAATGATTTTAGGCACTCTAAGTGAAGCCAACATACTAAACTTCTCTGGAAATCTTTCAATAGCCCAAAGAGAACAGATGGGAGAGAGGACAACACTTGTGTAATGTGATCTCATCGAGAAATAGCACTTAGTGAGCAAGCAATCAGAATTTGAACTAGCTGTAGCTGCCAAAGTATTTGAACTTGTCTGAATGTGTAAAAAGGAACAAAATCTCATTTATCCCAAGCATGCCACAGGTTGGCAAAATTATGTCTCTCTCTGCCACTCTGCTACTGATACTTATTTTCTGCCACATACACTTCTCTTATTCGTAGTATTAAATATTTGTCAATCTATTTAATTATGTCCCATCAATCAAACCATTCTGCAATACGTTAAATACATTGCAGGTGCTCTTGATAACATAATTTGCGGAGCTATATTGATTTAGCTTGGTATTTATCAATATATATATCATTTACATATTTATCAATATGTATATAATTTACCTTGGTACATTGGTCCACTGTGATCAACAAGGAAGATGCTATGAAGCTCTTGTTGCATACTTGTTGAAATGTAGCAATGACTCAAAACAAGAGTTCCCAGCAGGAAAAAAAATGGTTATAATGAGCTGGGGTCATAGTAAAATCCCAATAGATAGGGGAAATCCCAAGTCATTTCAGTAACTGTAGTCTCAGTAGATGGACATTCTCACAGGGCGTTTCTGTTCTCTAGTAAAAATAATAGAAAAAGAAACCAGCTTCCTTGCTTTATATAAAGTTTCATACATACACAAACCAGCAATCTAAAATAAAAGAACAGCCTAGTTCTTGTTTGTTTGCAACTCGGGACTTTTGTCTCAACCAGCTGTGTTCTTGCTGAGCACAGAAAATTTCTTGGCAATTAATGAACGACCTATGGAAGGATATGCATCCTGGTCTGTTCCCATGCAACAATAAGGTTACTTCTTTTTTTTTATAATCATAGAATATAATGTCAAAAGGTACTTACGTGAAACAGCCAATTCCTGACTGGAAGCTCAGAAATACTGTCAGCAATAATTGTTTTTGCTAACTCTGAGCCACAACATAGCTGTTGCAAGAGTTCTCCAGACAGCAGAGAACCTAGTTGTACTGGTAAAAGAGAATCTTCTCAGCTCATATTAGTCTTACTGCAAGAGGTCTTGCTTTGGCCGAGATCTGTAAATCCCCCCACAAAAAGCCCATTGACTCCATTCATGTTCCCTGGTTTTCATTCCAGCCAAACATATCCTCAATTTAAAAGTACAATATATGGCAGTGCTACTCTCTGACCTTCCAGAAGCAGCAAAGTCACTCTCGGTATTGTTATGCTTAAAAAGTAAAATTTTCTGGAAGTGTAAGCATGCATTTCTGCTACCATAGATTTGGATTAAAT